TTTAGCTGAAATTTCAACATCACCATCATCTTGTACGCGTCCGACAACATTATTAGCTCATCCATCGGTTTCTAATAATCAATTTTATGGAAATAATTCACCAAAAATACTTTCACCATTACTTCCATCACCACTCAAATCCCAATCACCACATCATAATACATTTAATCAAAATCTTGCTTTAATGTCAATCATGCAACAACAACAACAACCATTTTTACATCATCATACATCGAATCCATATAATGGTACATATACAAATGGAAATAATACTGAAGTATTATCAAATGAGAATCAACAAATATTTGATGGGTAAATGCAATATTATTACATAAATCTAATTATATATTACTTTTAGTTTAACAAATTCATCATCAAATCATCGACTTGATTTATCATCATTTATTGATACAAATTCATCAAATACGAATACAATTTTTTCATCATCATCAGAATTAAATACACCATCATCAGTAACATCTATATCAAATGTTTATCAACCATCGGATATAGCTAATTTACTTGAACCATTATCATCTGATGTATCAACAAATGATAAAACAGATGAAAATTTAATGAATGATATAAAAAATACTTTACCATTAACATTAAATAATGTTCCACCATCATGTTCATCAGCAGCAGCTGCTGGTGTTGCTGCATTATTTCAAGAAAATTTACTTTCATCATTATTTAATTCATTTGAACCATTTAGTAAATTATTTCCAAATGATGATCAATCAGCAACAACAACAACAACAACAACAACAACATCATCATATTATAATCATTTTTCACCATTATTAACAACAGCACCCGATAATAGTCATTATCCAATGTCTTATGGTCATAATATTTCTTGGCATTAAATGAAAACAGTTTTTGTTAATTTTCGTTTTTGTTGTGGTTTTCTTTTTGCTGTTTTCTCCGGTGTATGTGTTAATTCATGCAAAACTATTTACACCCGCGCGCGCGCCACCTCGTTTTTTTTTTGCTTTTTCTAGTCGCACTTGTCTTGTTGTCTGTCTTTGTCGGCCATATTTTTCTTTCGTCTTCTTCTTGCGCGATGAATAGTAGTTTGTTTCGACATATACGATTTTTGTTTTTAGGAAAAACCAAACCGTTTCTCTTTACTGTGTAGTTTAGTTTTCTATGTATGTTTGGTTTAAAAAAGAAACCTATCTTCTTCTTCTTCTTCTTCTTCTTGTCTCAGGTTTTTTGTTTACAAGAAAAAAAAACACAAGAAGATATTCACCATGACTTTATTATTCTTCCTCTTCCCTGCATCTCATCCCGATCTTTTTGTTTTTGTAATACATCTATTCGTTGTCTTTGTATTTAAAATAGCACACACTCCCCGTTTGTTTGAACAGTTTTCTCATTTATTCACTCTCATGGTTTAGGTTGGGTGTTGCTTTTTTTTTTCATGAATGAATGAGCTCTTGTTGTCTTCTTGCCTTCACTTTTTTTTTTTATTATTATTATTACTATACATGCATGTCTAAGATCCTACTTCGTTTTTTTTTTGTTTTCATCCTTATTTTTCTATTACTTTTCTTTCTCGCTCTCTTTCTCTCTGTGGATTTCAACCAGGATTTTTTGTGTTGAACATGTAAACCCTTGTACTTCAACGATGAAGACAATGCTAATGAAGAGAAGAAAAAAAAAAAGGAAACTCAATTAGCATGATGAAAAGTTTTTTTTTTCCTTTTTGTTTTGAATAAAAAAAAAACTGACGAAATGAAATAAACGATAATTAGTCATTATTAATATTAGTTTCAAAGAATTTCGACACAAGCTTATAGTTTTAAAAGAAATATTCAAATCAATATATTCTAGATGAGTCGTTATCCAGGACCTCTTACATCATCTCAAGGACAACCATTATCTTCGGTAGGTGTTTATCCACCATCAGGCATGCCAGGTCATATGCCAAGTCCACAAACTGTACCACCATATAATGTTGCTGTTGCTTCACCATCACAATATGTTCAACAACCAGGTCCATCACCAAATCAAGTTCATTATGTTCATCCATCGGTAATAAAATTGTTCATATTATTTTGTTTTTCTCTTATGTAAAAATTTCATTGAAATCTTGAGAAAGAAAAAAACGGAGCAAATTAAATAGCATACATAGATCAAGTTAACATTATTCTTCAATAAAGAAAATCTTACTATTTTGTTTATGAGCATAATATAAAAATGTTTTCATTTCAATGTTTATTTATTCCACTATCTGGTTTTTTTTTCGTTTCTTTTGAAAACAAAACTTATCTTTGTTATTATTTTTTATTACTACTACTAGACAACGTCTATCATAAAATGAAACTTTTTATTTAGCCTCAACAACCAATGATGACAGCTCCCGGTTATGGACAACCTATGATGCATGGTATTATGCCGCCTCAAGCAGTCATACAACAACAACAGCAACAACAACAACAACAACAACAACAACCACAACAACAGCAACAGCAACCGCAACCACCACCTCAACAGCAACAGCCACAACCTCAACATCCGGCTCAACAACAGGATGATTTAGCAGTTAAAATTAAACGATCATTTAGTAATTTTGATAATAGTCTTAAAGTAAGTAGTAAATTAAAATGTTTTCTTTTTTTGGAAATTTTGTTCTTAGACATTTCTACATGAATATTCATCGATATTACAAATGGATGATGCACGATTGAAGTAATTCTTATTCAAAACAACAACAAAAAAATGTTCATAAATAATTGTATTTCTTTAGTTCACAAACATCTGATCTACTTGTACAAACTTCTCAAAATCTCATACGACGTTATGAAGCATTACTTGTTGCTCTTGATTTATTTGAATCAAATTTAGTCTGTTTAAAAAGTTATTTTCTTTTTCAATTAAATTTTCTTCTTTTTTATATTTTAGCGTATGTTACAAGATTATTCATCAACACAAAATAATTTTCGTCGTTTTATGCCACCAGCACAAATAGTTGCTGAATCAAGTTCACATGCTGGTCATCAAACAGTACCAATTTCACCACATATTGGTCGACCTGTTGATCCAGTTCAATATCAATTTTTATTAAATAAAATACAAACACAAATTGATTCATTTAATACATTACATGATTTAGGAAAAAAATTTCTTGAAACATCATCAACAAATATCAATACAAATGTATCGACTAAACAATAGACTTTATCTTTTCTTCTTTTTTTTTTTGTGTTTTTGGCGTTTTTCTTTTCCTCTCTCTTCCTCAGTCTTTTTTTTTTTATTGTACAAAATAAAAGAGAGAGAAGAAAAAAAAACATAAAGATAAAAATAAGAACAAATAATTTCAAATCATGGGTGATCAACGTCATCGTTATGTTACAAATCTTGATAATGTAAATCTACTTGAAAATAATCCAACAAATATTTTGGATGATGAATTTAAAAATTCTATGGAAATTTTTATTGCAGAATGTATTGGAACAATATCAAAGAATTATCTTGTAATGTTATTTCTTTATTTGGTTTACTTTTTTTTTTCTATATAAATAAATCATTTCTATTTATCTAGTACGAATATCAACGATTGGCCGTTTTCACTTTTTATCCACCTTTACGTCATCAACAAATTCGTGAACTAGCAATTGAGAATCTAACATCTAGTGATGCACAACATCAAATAGCTGAAAAAGTTTATAAACAATTAGAATTAATTTTTCAAAATAGAACAATTAAATGGAATTCAATAGCACAAACAACAGCAAAGCGATTTGTTAGAAATTCTGTTCAACAAGCTGTTGAAATAATACGTAAAAAATTATTACGATCTATTGATCATGAATATCCAAAACGAAATATTGTTATTCAACGTTTTATATTAGATCATAATCGATTAAAACTTGTCTAAACTTCTTTTTGTTTTAACAAAAATTTTCAAATAAATAAAATTTAAATCTTCTAACATTAAATTTTTTTCCTTAGGTAATAATCAAATAATCCTAAATTAAAATTATTTATTAGAATTTACTTAGAATATAGTCACTATAGACAGGTTTTTTTTTCTATCGTCATTATCTATATGATCGAAATGAGAATGCTTACGATCGTATAAATGAGCTTGTGGTTTTATTACTAAGATAAAGACTATATAATCTTAAACGTCGTCGTCTTATTAAAAACAAACATTTTTCTTAGAGGATAAATTCACCATGAAAGTATAATCATTCTTGAATCATATTGTAAATAAGTAAGTAAAATACAACGACATGTTATTTTTTTTTCTTATCGATCAAGGCAATATTTGTGGGTGTTCGTTCTTTGAATTCCAAAAAAGAAAAACAAAGCCATCCGTTTCTCAGTAACAATAATAAAAATTTTTCGTACGTTCTCTTCATTCTGAGTAGTTGGTCATACTTATGCGCAATAACAATGATTAAACGACTTATTTAATAGGTAAAAAAAAATATTTGCTTGTCAGCAAAAAAAAGAGAAAGAAATCTCTTCAAATGTAATAGTAAGGTTGTACTAATAAAAAAAAAACAAAAAAACAAAGAATTTCCAGGTAAGACAAAATTTATTCATTTTTTTTTGGTAAATACAATTTTTAAATGAAGTGAATAAAAAACTAATATAGAAAACAATTTTAATCGATCAAAAAAACAAACGTTCTCTATAAAATAAAGAACAGTCTAGACTTATGACGACTTTTATATGAGTATTGAAATCAATAATCATC